ATTGTTCGTATTAGTAATGAAAACCACACCACATACACTAAGTAAAGTAACTGGATGTACTACATGACACCAATTATTCGCATACATGTTTCGACGATGCTTGCAATGTTACCAATTGCCAGAAAGGCAACCATTGCTTGGGCTTGATGGTTCCGCGTCAATAATGCATAGGAATCAGAATCTGCATTAGTGCTTTCAAAAACGCATATAAATACATAACTAAAGTGAAATCCCCTCGATAAGCCTGCTTTTGTTTAGAGTACCATGCAAGTGTGGCTTCACCGACGTGAACTTTCGTTGGAAACTTGGCGTTCTTATGCGTTATATCTGTCTAACAGATAGAATGATGGTTTATGGTGTCATTGAGTACGAATTCCGATGTAAGTCGCATGTCCAGTACTTCCTACAGCCATTATTGCATTACTCAAGGTTTCATGCCCATAGTTTTTCCACATATTCTGGATTTTCGTCATCTCATTTTTCATCAGGAAAATGCGAGACCGCATCTTGTGCACGCTGCTCTATGTTTCCTCATTACACAGGATATTTGACTCCTGACTTGGCCTACGCTTTCTCCCATACTCTCATCAACTGAAAACTTCTGACTAATATTGCAGAGAGACTGATACAAAACCCTAGAAAGAATTGAATACGTAATGCCTGGCACAGAACAGTAGCTGCATGAGGTTTTAACCTCCTAAAATGGCTTTAATGTCTGTTCGTTCCATGTTTAGCCATAACAGCCAGTATTGTTGCCAGACCTGAATGCCTGTAGTACAGATATCTGTATACGCTGTACCTCAAAATTGCCTGAAATTTTAATCATTTTTTTCCATTAATCGTATGATGATTCTTCTCATTACACTCGTGATGTAGCTATTATTTAGTTCAAGAAATGAAGCGAAAATTTTGTTGGTGGCTTCTGTAACATGTGCTTTGTCACGGATTCAGTTGTTTCCTTGCCAAAAATTCCATAGTGTGCGGAAATCCGTTTAAGAGATGTAGGAAATGCTTTCAACATGTTTCTGCTTTCCTAATCCAGACTTTTTCGGATATATCCGATTTGGAAAAGCCCTGATCAGACAAAATATTGCATAAAGATGTATTTCGGAAAATAGCTGTATAACTTCATTACTAAACATGAGGCTATAGGTGTAAGTATGAAGCCACGTATCTCTTTGATATTTACTATTAGTAGTTAATAGAGCAACAGCAAAAATGTGAGCGTCACTCATTCGCTTTTCACCCACACGATCAATTTCGAATCTAAATGGATATCAAATGCACGCAAACCCCAACGGCACTACAAGATTAAGATTTTCTGGATAAAGACGTACATCGGGTGCCGCTAACTTTTTTTTTTTTTTTTCTGCAGATCAAATTATGTTTTAAGACGTTTCGGGTCAGTGGTATTTTTATTTTAAAACAGTCTATTTTTAGTGCATAATAAGTTAAATGTTTTAGAAAGAGTAATTACAATACCCTTTAAATTAAACATAAAAATTAAAATTAGAATTCTAATTATCATAAAAACAAACATAACCGAATGAAATTTACTTTTCTCTTCGATATCGATGTCTTTCCTGATGCTGAACTTGTGACGTCAATTTAGTCAAGCATAATTGGCTTGTAGTTAGTAGTCTAAAAACAAACACACGCATCTGAATTTACGGTACTTAGCTCCTCCTGTTCTTACTTAAAATAAATTTCATGCAGGAAAATATTCGCTCGCATTTATAGATTGAACCGAAAAGCCATTTGTTTTTGCTATTGAAACTATTTTAAGCTACTGAACAAATGCTACAAATGAGAATGAATTAAGAGAACTGTGATCACGATATTAGTGATGTCAGATGTCTATCAAGGAATTATGGATCGACGTTGCAAAGCTTATCGATTTTTCTTGAAATTATGCTTTGAAAATGCAGGTTCGTCACAGAAGTTTTTTTTTTTTTTTAATCAAACAAAAATATTATTGCTCTTAATTATTTTCAAAGAACATTTTTATGCACCTTTCAAATGTTCGTTTCATATTTATATTTTACAATTTATTTTTATATATTATACTTTATTTTTGGAACTCAAACGGGTAACTTGAAATTATAAGGTATTTCTCCCACTTTCCTAGCGTGCCTTCGTGGTCGCACACTGAGCCGGTATTTCAGAGGTACGTGGTTCGATTCCCGGCGAAGGCGTTGCAAATATTTTTAATTCTCTTGCTTTCAAAAAAATCCGAATGTCTCTACAGTGGCGCCCGAACTAAAAGGGTTGTGGATGATGACTCTTCACACTCAGGATTTGGCGACTGGGTTCCCTGAAAACCCCAGTCGCCCTTTAAAAAGGGGAGTATATAAGGCATTTCTCTCACTTTCCTAGCGTGCCTTCGTGGTGTAGTGGTTCTGCACGCTAGGCTGGTATTCCAGAGGTCCGTGGTTCGATTCCCGGCGAAGGCGATTGCTAATTTTTCATCTCCTCTGCTTCCAAAAAAGTACCTAATATTTCTACAAAATTATGAAATAGGTCCTCGGGGATTCCCAGGGTTCGAAGTTGCCGAGACTTGGCGTACATAGATATAATAAACAGCTACATGTACTGGAAATTTAACTTCAACGTCTTGAGGAGAATACCAAATTCCTATATTGGATAAACGCTTTCTGCTTACTGAGTGTTTGTGTGGCATTTATTTCATAGTCTCACTAAATTTGATTGTTAAGCATCTACTAAGATTTTTACAGAAGCTAATATTGTATGTTTCTATAATACTGAAACAGGTAAGGTATGAGCGATAGCTTGTATAGCAGGACTTGCAATGGGCTTTAACAGGACTTGTAATGATCCGTAAATATCTGTATTATGGGGTTTCTAGTTTCTAAATGACATTTGTTGCAGCACAGTCGAACGCTTCATTACAATAACTGAAAATGGGTTGACTAAGCAATTTAAAAGTAGTATTTAGCAGGAGCGATGCCACTATTAGACGATGTTGGCAGGAATAGGTGAAACATGGCCGCACACAACGTCAAGAAGGAAGCGGTAGGCATAGAGAATTGACAGAACGGGAAGACCGAGCAATCGACAGAGCGGCAGTCACAGCCCCAGATGCATCATTATCATCGATTGTACGTGCAACTGGTGTTTCAGTGACCGCAACGACCATTCATAGACGGCTCACAGAAAGGGGGCTGAGGTCATGGCGCCCTACAATTGACCTCTGTACAACCTCAAGCCCGTTTGCAGTGCTGTCGGGCTCAATCGCACTGGAATGTCACTGAGTGGAGTAGAATAGTCTTCAGTGATGAGTCCGGCATTGATCTGAGCCCCGGTGACCAGCGGAGGCGGTCTGGAGACCCCGGACAGCGGTTGTGATACCAACCTAATGCCTTCCGGACGCAGGCCGACAACCAGCATGATGGTCTGGGGTGCCATTTCATTCTAATAGGACACCTTGGTGTTATCCGTCGCAACCGTACAGCGCAGCGGAACGTCGACTAAGTTCTAAGGCCCATTGTTGCCCTTCAGTCACGCCACCTGGGGCTTCATTTCAGCGATAAGCCTGCCCCGACCTGCCACATGTTCTACTGCTTGCCTTAGCGCTTTCCGAACATTACTTTGGCCAGCAAGGTCACCGGATCTTTGTCCTATTAAGCACGTTTGAAGCATTATGGGCAGGTCCCTCCAACCAGCTCGGGACGTTAACGATCTAACGCGCCAGTTGGGCAGGCTTTGGCAGAATATCCCTGAGGAGGACATCCGCAACGTCTATCAATCGATGCCAAGTAGAATAACTGCTTCCATAAGGGCCAGAGGTGGACAAACGAGTTACTGACTTTTTTAATTTGTGAAGCTTTGTCACTTTAATACATTATCCAATTTTCTCAAACTGTAATCATTTGTTTTTCTGTAAATGTACATCACTTCTACCGATTTTCGTCCCATTCGGATAACTCCTTCTTGGTGCGTCGCTTTTTTTTTGTCTAAGAGTGTATATGCTTGAGTCATCAGCAAGAAGAGCTAATATATTGGCAGTTCACATACACTGCAAGGTATAGATTCTAGCTTGTCTGCTATACAAATTATCATCCATACTTTACTTGTGTAAGTGCAATAGAACAGGTATGATTATCTTCTCTGAAAAACATTAAATATGATAGGTAGCAACACATCACAATGCGAGAGGTCCATCTATAGCAGTTTATATTAAAACAAATTTAAACAGAATGAATACCCATGTCAGAATCATGACTACGCTTATCTCCAAACCAATGTAGTTTTAAGGTGAATTTGCATCATTAATCGTGCCACAATTTATAAGGCGAAACTTGAAAGAAAAAATTGCAACAAACTTTTATCTTCAAACGGACAGAATTCAGTACCATATCAACTGAAGAAATGTATTACATAAATATTAATGCATTGTGATAAAAAAAGGCTTTAAAGATAGAAGTAATTTCTTCTTCTTTAGCGATGCATTTATTAATGTTATACTGTTATATTAATGTATTTATTAATTATATCAGTGTTATAATTGACTAATTGACGGAAGAATGCAGATGTTTTGCAATAACCCTGCAATTATTTCTTCAGAAATTTATAATGATAATTATTTTTATGAAGAAGAAATTGATAAAACATTGTCTAGCGAGTGATCCTCAAAATTAAGGTAACAAGTTGCCTTCTGTTTTTTTTTTTTTTTTTTCTTGAAACATAAACCGATTTCTGACAGAGTTCTCTATTTTCCAATTCCAGTTCCAGTATTATTTCAGTATGTTTCTAATCAAATTATGTCATTCTTAAACAAAATTTAAAATTTAGACCAAAAACTGTGCGTGACATTAGGTATAGTTGTATGGTTTTAGTCATCTTAATATTGAACATTTGTTCACATATTTAACAGTACTAAATACAGAGTAAATGATTGTGATGTGAATATTTAATTAGAATTTTGTTCTTAATCCCATGCTAGATAATAAATATTATCAGTACCTGGATTTTGTTTGCAGATTTTTCCATGGAGAGTGATTTAGAAGGGATCTCTTTCAACGAAGAAAAAGAAAAGGAAGAGAGATATTGTTTGAATACAATCGACAACTGTTTAAAAATATATGTTCAACGAATTAAACTAGCAGTTGCTATATCTGTGATAAGATCTACTCCACCTGATACTACACCAGAAAATTATGCGCGGAATCTTGTTCAGATGTTCACCACAGATGTTGCGGCATGGAAGTCAAAGTGTCAAGAGCTCGAACAAGAAATTTTGTCCCTGGAACAAAGACTTCACGTAGTAGAGCTGAAGGAGAAGACCAACCTATCTTTTATCTGTGCAGATATACGTAAGATCATGTTTCTAACATATAGCGGATGTCTTTGATAGTTTCTCATTACAAAAGCATTTCTCAAATGCCATTAGTGTCTCTTTTATGCTGTTTCTAAAATTTTGCGTCTTTGCAGTTTTACAGCAATAGTTTTAATATATAATTTAGTGTACATGCTGGGTAAACTACAGCTGTTTTATGATTACTTAACTGCAAACATTTTGAGTTTTAAAATTATAATAAAAAACTGCAGCATCTTATTTTAAAATTCTCACACGCCGCTCATGATTACTGTTCACACCACAGCTATTGCAGTTCTTGTTGTCATGCATGCTACCCAAACATTTATACAATCTCTTCAGAGGTCTCAGGTAGAAATGTGTTTCAGAGGAAATGAAATGCTTTCGATAATTCATCAGGTGTACATTATAGGGAGGAATTATACATTATAGGATTACATTATAAGGAGGAATTATCTTACCTGTTTTTGAATAACTCACACTTCTATCTCTAAGGAATTAACCAAAAATGATGAAATATACCATTTAAATTACCATATTAATTCACCTTTTTAAAAAAATAATTGGCTAAGTTAATGCATGCGCATTTGCAGGGTGAATATTCTATGTCTGTTTTCAAACTTTTAGCATTAGCAGAATCCTTGCAATAATGCTGCGTCAGTGAACAGCCACATAATAGCTATTATACATGATTATTAAAATATTACTTTCTCTTTTACACATTTAAAATTTTTAAGAAAATATATTCCCAAATTACTGTGATCAAAATCTATAAATCGCAGATTTAAAATATGCATTGCTTTAAAAGGTTTTTCCCCCTAGCGTTTGACGTCTTTCATCAACATCTTGAAAAGATCCGTATTTTATTTTTGTTTAGCATTTGCAAATAAATTCGTTTTTAATAAGCAAAATTTTCCGAGTGGTAAAAGTAATTGAGTACAGAAAATGCATTAAATACTTTGTTTTGGCATTGGAATATCTGTTACAGAAATGTTAAAATCTCTACAAAAGACCTTTAAGGACTATATGTTTATCTAGAACAACATGTTTGGGTAATATACGATGTCTGAAGTAGACAATATGTAAAACATGTTCAAGTTGACAGTCTTCTTCAATTAATATCCAACACATGGATCAAGTAAGAACTTTGATCCCTAGCGATAACCATTTAACAATGAAGTGCACTATTAATAAGGTTTCTATATCAAATCATAATGTCAAGTAATTCTGAAAAGTCATGTTAGCTTGCGGTACCTCGCTTCACAAAATTCTCCAGAATTGGTTGAATTTTTTTCAAAACAGAGCAATGTATCCTAGTAACCATAAGATGGTTTCACAAACGAAGTCATTTTTAAGACGCATTATAGCACTAATCAAATTTAGCAAAATGTTTTGACACAAAATTAGATCAACAATAAAGAGAATTGATTTCGAAAACTGAAGAAGACTAAAAACAACCCTCTCAAAGTGAGTCAGAAACTAAAAAAAACTGGCATTTTCCTTTAATTGTCGTAGTGCTGCGAATAGTTAATTTCTGCCATTTTGGTCAAACAATTATCAAAGAATATTTTTCAATATTTTACGGAGTTGCGTGATACGGTTCATAGAAAATAATCTCAATACGTACTTGTTTATTATCTCTCTCTTACTCACATGTACACTCGCAGATACTTGTATATAAGTTTGTAATTTCTAAAACTACTGATTGTTTTACTATATCAATCTAAAAAAATAATATTCACGGAGTCCTCTCAGATCATTTTGTGTAATTCACAGATTATGCGAGGGATATCGGCTCTGGTATAGTGGTGAGTGACCTTGACTGCTGTAGCGATGGGCCCGGGTTCGAATAACTATCCGTCCCTAAAGCGGTTATCACTTCTAGGAACGCGCGCGGCTAGGCGGGACAGTTCCGAGAAACGAGATTCTAAAAATAGCACTGGTTTAAACGGGAGGTTTCCGAGAAATTTTTCGTCTAGCTAGGCACAACATGCCCCGGCTATGAGCAACATTTTGAAACCTTCCCGAAAATGTTCCGTCTAGAGCCGTGTTCCAAGTACAGAAGAGCAAATCAGATGAAACTTCTGCTTCTGAAGGATCACGGGTAATTTTCAATATGGCGATTGCTCTCGTGGTGAAATCATGGACGGTGAAAATAGAAGCCGATTTAATTGAAGAAATACGGAAAAAGCCGTATATATATCGCTGTTTTGTTGTAGTATAACTGTCTAAGTCATTTATAAATGTTTATATATTTATTAAATGTATAACCATGGAAATTTCAGAGTAGACAATATTATATGGCGTGCTATTTCTGATGATTTATTTACAAATTATTCGTCGCCAAAAGTTCGCTGAACGTATTTCGTGCTGAAACTGCAAAAAGAATGTTATTTTTATACAATAGAATTTTTTTTTTTATTAAGAGGAATAATTTTTTAAATATGTTTGTATATGCACGACTTCACATTTCTGTTAATTACTTTTATTACTTTTAAATTTAAATTGCATAATCAGGGATTATGTATATTTATTAAAACATATATTATGTAATAATGAGGATACATATTAAATTTGTATGCTATTATCTTCATGTGCTTTTTAGATTATAAACACATTAAGAACTATATTTTTATTATAAATGCTACATATTGAAACATTGGAAATTTATGGATTTATTATTTTGAATGATGAAAAACACTTGTATATACATTCATTAATATAAATCTTATTCATTACAATAATACTAATTGATACACATACATCAACAAATTCTAAACCATCGCATCTCTCTCTCTCTCTATGTGTATGTAAATATATGAATTATTAGATGTATATATATGTAGGTTTTACTTTCAAAGAGCACGAATATTGCATTTTTAAATGCTTTTATTTTACTAATAAGAAATAGATAAAAGTAATAAAATGTAAGTAAAAATTAATGTTGCAGGATTCATGTAATGATGAACAATCACAGACAATATTAGTTCTTCCGGCGTTGATAGAATACGTTATTCTGTTAAAATCCACAGATAGCTTTAAATAGTATGATCAGCTTATTTTAAGCAACAAAGGCACTTAAACACCAAAGAAGACCGCCTGTCTTCTTCAACTCTTGAAGACAAGCAAGCCATCCGCTCGGATCTGCTATGCTCCTCTCTCGTCCCCGTCTGGACGCTATCTCCTGTTGGTCTCGTCTGTTCCACACTGAGCTAAGCTGCGATAACGTCACCACGCTGGTAATTCGCTAAGTCAGCATCGGTCGTCGATGATCTCCACACACACACACACGCACAGAACACACACACACACACACCACACACACATATATATATATATATATATAAATACAAAAATGAACACTGACAAAAATTTTATTTGAAGTTACTTCTAATTCATATACCGATTTTGTAATTGGCAGCAACTGTAGTCATCAGTTTGTAGAGACATTAGGTATATTTTTGGAAGCAGGCAAGATGAAAAATGAGCAAACGCTTTCGCCGGGAATCGAACCACGGACCTCTGGAATACCAGCCCAGCGTGCAGAACCACTACACCACGAAGGAACGCAAGGAAAGCGGGATAAATACCTTTCTTTGCCCATTAGTTAAGTTCTTTCCACATTATCATGGATATGGAATACACAGTTGAAAAATAATTACAGTGCATTTTTTGCAATAGGCTGTTGATTAAAATTCACCCACTTTCACACACAACCTTTGCATTTGTAACTATACTTGGGAATTTAAACAAAAAAAAAAAAAAAAAAAAAAAAAAAAAATTGAGCAAGTAGCCTTTATGAAATATTTAACATTTTGAGGATGAAATAAAAATTTTCGACTCATCACAAAACAAATATCAGTAAATGACGTTATATCATGTACATAAAAGTTATTATGGATTTAAAAATAACTATTTACAATAATAAAATCAAATATATACAACAGATCAGTACAAAGAATCGGACTTCTCTTTAGACGTTTTTTTCTTTTTAGCTTTTAGAATCGCCAGAGTCGAGATAAAAGTGATTAACTTAAAAGCCATTCTCTTTCTGTCATAACTAACAATAAAGTTTAAAACGAAAAGAGTGTGAGCGATACAAAATACAACACTGAAAAGCAGTTGTCAGAGGAAACGTTACTTTCGTCAATCTGAGCGATAACTGATTCTTGTTTGGCTTTCAGCCTGTTTACCAAGTGAATATGGTAACCCGATTCCGCGGAAGCGCAGTCCGAGAATTGTTCCTTCTAACATTATGTTCCGACAACAAATAGTTTATGTGATAGCAGCATAAGGAATTACTGTACAGTCCAAAGCACAAAGAGTGACATACGTATGAATGGTTCCAAAATGGAAGCGGGTCCACCAGCGGCCGAGCGGTAAAGTCGCTGAACACTGGTAGTTCGGTCCGAGGTTCGAATCCCGCGAACGGGCTGGCTGCATGGGCTTTGTGGTGGTTTTCCCCATGTGTAACGTGTATGCGAGCTAGTTTTCCTTAGAAAGTCCTCCACGAAGGCAGCCCTTCCCTTAGGCAGATAGCCCTCGAAGCTTTGCCATAATCACACACGCACACACACATCCAAAATGGAAGCAGGTGTAGGAGGTTCTTGTGTGCTGCCAGCTTCTAGAAATAATCGATGCTAAGAGGTCGCTTACAAAATGAAAGTAGTATTTTGGAAGCTGAACTCTCTGCGATCAATGTAGTTTTTATATACTGCACTTAAAATAGTATCAAAAATATTAAACTTACTGTCAATCTGCAATACTAGCATCGAAAAATACAAAGCATAAGTCATCATTTAAATATAACTGATTTCTAATATTACAGCATCTCACCTCGATATTCGCCCAAAAATATCTTGGGTAAAAACACGTCTGAAGTTCCTTCCCCTGATGAAAGGCGACGAACGGAAGTGACCTACCCCGGAAAAACCGGTTGAGGCAGGCTGGTGAGGGGAAAAAGACTGGACTGGTGGGCACTTGGCGTTGGACCGGCAAGCATGCCGTGTGAGAGTATAGAGAACTGAAACATGTTTTAATTTCTTTTGCGCTCCTTGAATATATATATTTTATATAGTTTATTTTACAGTGTATTCGTTGTATGGTGTATCAATAGTGCAGTATGTGTAATAAATTAGTGAAAAAAGATGTCAAAGCGGACAAGTGCTATTTTCCCATTATGGTAAGTTCACCAGAAGAACACACCTCGTGTTTGAACGAGCGCGAGGCATGACAACACGTGTATAGAAATCAGGAAATGAAGATGCAGACGAAGCAGCAAAACCGGTAATAACTTGTGATGAAGCAAAAATTTTAATTTTACCTTCGCTGAAGTCTCATCTCAATTGAAAACTTAAATGCTTACAAAAACAGCTGCGGGAAGAAGTTTTTTTCCGTTTCTCCCTCAAATTAATACGAGTACAAAAAAACTTACGTTAAGCGCCATCTAAGCTGGTATCTAACAGGCCATGTCCCGTTCCCCACATAATTCCAGGAAACAAAAATATTATGACACTTATGTATTAACACAACCTACTTGGCGCAGTTTGGTAGTTTAATGCAGAAGAAATGGTAAAAGTGCAAATTGGTATTCTCGCGAATGTTCTTAAAAAGATTCCCGAATTATGTATATTTTTCGTGAGTTTGAAAACATTATCAACATAAAAAAAGATAACATAATTCAGTAATTCGAAATACCTCCTTGGCGCAGTTTGGTAGTTTAATGCAGAAGAAATGGTAAAAGTGCAAGTTTGTATTCTCGCGAATGTTTTTAAAAAGATTCCCGAACTATGTATATTTTTCGTGAGTTGGAAAGCATTATCAACATAAAAAAAGATAACATAATTCAACAATTTGAAATACAAACTTTAATTGTTAAATAAAGATTACGTGAAACATTTAAAAAATGAAAAACTTCCATTCATCTCCAAATCTTTCTGTACTTATTTTTTGCACTATTTTCTTCCTATGTACACATCAATTGGTTTTCGCTTGAAGCGAGAATTGCAGAGAAACAGAGACCTCGGCAATATTGGCTTATATGGGCCATACGCATCTTCTCATTATTCCGGAGATTTTGCGGCAAAATTCTCTATTCCTACAGAAGTTTCCTTCTATTGCTAACAAATTCCCCAATTAAGTTTAAGATTAATGTAAAGTAGTGAAATCTATTTCAAATGGTTGAAAAGAAAAAAGAATGATATTTTTATTACGGAATACGTTACATTAACTACTAAAAATTTGTTACTTTAAGAAAAATATGATTTTCACCTTAGAGAAAGAAAAATATTTCTTTCTAATAAGCCTTAGTTCATAAAATATTTATCCATTACTACTAGAGTGAACTTAAGTACGAAATGAAACGTTAAACACATATTATTCTTTATATATATTATTAATGCAGATAAACCATAAATATTCCTTTTTTTCAGTTGAAAATGACGATGTCCTTGTTTCAAGAAAAGAAGAACAAAATTTAACAACTAATTCCCGAATTGATGAATTCGAGAAGAAAGTATGCGAAACTGTGGAATTCGTGAGAAGTTTCATACTATTAAGTTCATTTTCAGTTACTTGCAATTTAAACTTTGATGACAGTAAAACAGAAAGTAAACGCAAAGAGCTAATTTTGAAATCTATATTGACTTTATTTGGACATCTGAAAAGTGAAGCAGGCCTAAACCTCCCTTTTAATATCGTCAACCAAGCCATGAACGAAATTCTTCGACTGTTTGATACAAAGAATATGTCTTTAGAAGTAGAACTGGTTAGAATATGCATGTCATTAGTAGAAAATTTACTAATCGACATTCATAAAACAATGGAAATCAACCAGGTAATAATCCAGTACCATTACATTAAATCGATAAGTATTTAAATATATTAATATACAATATTATTTCTAAGTGGTTTTAAAATTATAAAACTTAGATGAAAAATATATAGTCACATTATAACATTTAAAGGTGACTGCTTACACTACTCGCTATCCATCTAATATCTAATCTTTAGAAGTTAATTCTACTGGTTTGCATCTTACCGCCTCCTAAGATTTACTATAAACACCAGACGTAACCTCAAAAAGTAAAAGTAAACATAACATTTATTTACAGCGGCTTGTGGCATTAAAACTAAAATTAATATAAAAGGAATATCTCGACTTTCAACAGCAACTTGTTGCTTGTCTTGATTATGTAGGGTTGCTTACAAGTGCAACAAATTTTTTTGCGAAGCTTATTAGATTATAAAAATACACGCAGTTCATTTTTCATTCATACCGAACGTAACTAATATCGGGGTAATTTTCTCCTCTGGTGGTCGGTTCTTTAGCGGAAGCAGTAGCACAACAATAACAATTCTAGTTAGCAAAGTAGAGAAATCATTAAGTGTTAAACCTACGCCGCTAGCTGTACATCTTACAGACTCTGGAATGAACAAGTACATAGCGAAAAAAGGCATAAAGGAAAGAAATTAATATAAAGCTAACTTTGTAAAACTTGGATCATAACTGTTACAATATTAGTTTTAAATCTTATTGAGAAAACCGTGTTTTCAGTATAGAGTATTTTAATGGTGTATAAAATTTAAAATGATGTATAAAATTTTGAGGCGGACAAAGAACGCGTACAAAACCTAGATATAATATTAAGTTTTTATTATAATTGAAGATATAAGTAAATGTTTATAGAATTAACATAAAAAGCCCTGTTGAAAGATATAAAATGCTTGAAATAAATGAAGATGCAGTTAATACTTCTATTATTAAAAATAAGTTAATACTTCTATTATTAAAAATAAGTGTGACAAACATACAGAAATTGCTTCAATAACGAGCAATACAATTTACTGTTTTCAGAAGAATACAATAAAAATTAAGCCTAAAACCCACAAAAAAAATCTCTCAGCATGATTATATTTTGACATCGTTCGATGTTTTTAAAGCAGTTCTGCAGCTAAGACATATTGATTCATGCTTTGAATTGGATAATCAAAGTTCGTTACACATACCTTTGGTTTGTCTTCATACTGTATATCAGGTGAATTATATTAAAATGGAAAATAAGAAATTGCGAATATTTGATGATAGGTATTGCAACTAACAATGTAATAAAAGAGCTTTCAGAAGAAAATAAAAAAGAATTCCTAGAAGTCTTTTCTACTGAGCATATGTTTATATAGTATCATATAAAAGCCTATTTAACAGAGAAGGAATTTTACATGTTAAAGTTGCAAATATTACTGCTGCATATTTTTATGATGATAACTACATTTTGAACCGATTTCGACTTTGTTTTTAAAAACGTAAATATTAATGTTGCAAGAGATAAATTTTTACGATCATAAAATGGAAGCGGGTGTAATCGATTTTTACGATTTTGAGACTTAGAAAGAGAAAATGTTGTTAAGTTGTAAGATCAATAAGACTTAACACTTAGTGAAGTTTAATCGGAAAAGTGCTGATAGAATATTAAATATAATAAACTCTCTAAAACAATGTTGGAAGTCTTGACAATTGCCCGTGGAAGAAACTTTTCAGTATTTTAAACCAAAAAAATAAGTTTAGATCTAATATAAACTACTGGCACACTGGAAAAATTAGTACCTAAACGAATCACTAATGCCAATTGTTACAAGAAAATTCTGATGCTTATTTCTTAATGAAACCAGAATCTGCAACTGCATGAAAATGAATTACCCTATATTATGTTGCGACAAAATTTTCAAGCAGTAAAATATTAGTAACTTAGGAGTATTTTTGTATTAATTGCATTTAAAATTTCAGATAATATTTATTGTTAATTAAAAAGTGTATTTCCTTTTTGTATGCTTTCAATGTTTAAAAACTATTTTTGTTGGTGAAATATTACCCTGAAGAAATTACTGCATCAGTGAAATAATTTAATTATATATATTTTTCATACAATCTAAGTCTCCATAGGTCTGACAATATTACTAACTCAGTTGTTATATTGGACTCTTTTGTTATTGGGAAGATATATATTTTGAACATGAGAATAATATTCTTACATTCGTTGTTTCCTGTTAATATCGAAAAGGTAAAAAAAAATTAAAATCTGATCGGAAAAGTATATTTCGATAATTCAGTTACCTAGATAGGAATATTGTTTCAATAAAATTTTTGTTATTAACGTAATTAATATTCTGATGATTAAGATATCAGAAATACACACCATTTCCTTAAAAGTCTTTACCTAGCCTCTCTATAATTCTGGCAATAGATTTGCATGGTTTCTATAAACATTTGGAATATTTTCATTATGACATATGTTAGGAAGCAAATCTATTCACACTTTAATTAATTTAATTAATTATTTAATTTAAACATTTATAAAGTCTGAAGCGTAACACTTCTTAGAAATTTTCTAAATGTATTTTAAATGGCACTCTGAATATGTAATACCACTTATCTAATATCGAGTGTGTTAATCTCATAAGATAGTAACGAGAATAACTAATTTTTAAAAATAATGAATAATTGCATGAATTGGAACCTCTTTTGTTGGCTGTTTCCTTAACACAACCTTCCCTGACAAATAAAAGCAGCTTTGCTGGGGTAATTAAATTAAGAATATTTGACATGCCAGATGTTCTATATTAAAAGTAAGATAACGGCATCAACAAGAAGATATTACTTGAAATTGGGGTATACTTGTGTTGCTTCTTACAATATTGTTTTTATGCAGGTTTGGGGTTATTAGTATCAGTACAGTTCTATCGATTCCATGCGCTGTTTTTATCAGGATTTGGCCTTTGAGTAGCCATACAGTTCTACTGGCCTTGTCTATAGATTTTTACTGTAATTTGGCCTACGGGGTTTAGTGTATTGATTTTCATACCAGGCGTATAGCAAGTTGCAATATTTGTAACAGGGGTATATCATTCAGGGGCCACCAAATTGACGTTAAGAAATTTTAGAATGACATTTTTTTCATTCTTGGCAAATGGGAGAGGGAAGGCGCGAAATCTTCAGTTGTCCTCGTGCACTGGAACCCCTAGCTACGGCTCTGTTTTATGGGTATTTGGGCTATGGTTACCCGCACGGTTGTTGTTTTCTACGGGCAAAGCTAATCAATTTCTAAATACTCATAAATATTTTCAGTGGTCTATACTGAGCATTTTTAGTACGTCGGTCACTGTAGCGCACCAAAATGGGATATTACACGCTCTTCATAATAGATTCTTATCGCAAGTGATTTATTTTATTGAAATGAATCTATCGGGAAGTAAGGTCCTTAAGGAAAATGTTTAATTCATGATCCCTCTTAACCTTACACATTTTAATTTCATGCTAGATAGAAAGTGGAAAAATATTATGATTCGTTAAATAGGAAAAAATGGAAAGAAAATTTATCTTTTATATGAAAGTTTAATGTGATCAGAAATAAAAATTATATAAAATTGTTTCTATTTGTACTTTTAGAAGACATTTCATATTCCTATTATGCAGCAGTTTTTGACATTTCGAAGGATAGACTGAAAGATATGTACCCTCGGTATTTAAGATTGAAATACGCTATAGTGAATGCATTGATTATTTTCTGCTATATATATCTGATGATACATATACCTATAAAAGCGATTACTTTCTTTCCAAAAAATGACCTGTTTCTTTTCAGCATAACTTCCTTCACAGAAGAAGCTTCCTAATTCAAATGCTAGCAGAACATATTTCTTTGACACCTCTCATCTTGAGCCGCCTTCTTCGGGAGATAACAATTATGTGTGACTTTTTGGAGAGTATGTATAGGGAAGATAATGAGGATTTCACTCCACTTCTGCGTTTAGAAAATATGTATTATGTCCTTCAGTCTACAGAAGGAGTACTGAATATCATGAAAGGTCAAAACAGCCCTTTGAACGTGATCAAAATCCCTAAGGAATTGCTAACCGAATGGAATAGGACAACAGATAAATCTTTAACAACTCTTGGTACACATTGTTCAATGTTTTGCATTTATATTTGGCATATCAAATCTCTTCTAAGAAATATTTTAAATACAGACGGCGTATAATGAACGGATTATTGAAAATAAGCTCAATATGCCATCGTCACCAAGCCAAAACCACGAATCTACAAAACTGTTATTTCGAGAAAACGTGATTAATTCTGATATCTGCTTTCTTTTGAAAATATCGAGTTAACCCCCCCCCACACACACATAATAAGTCTTCTACATGCAATTCAGGAAACGGGCGTTTTTTGCTTTTATTTCGGACAAAAAATCAGAAAACAAGTTCGAAAACTAATGAAGAGGTTCCTTTTATTCTAACTCCACATAACCAAAGTTTAATAAATCCAAAGCCGCATATTCTTTTTTCTTAGGTGAAATAAAATTGAAATTTTCTTAATTTCTTTTTTTCCTTTTAAATGTACATGCTGTATTTAAGCAAAAAAGTAAATTGCTTAATTTCAGTAATTAAAAAATGAAAGATGCTATATTTCTTGTTAAACTTTATCAAAAGAAAATATCTTTTTCATCATTTTCTGCATATTTTATTAATTAAAAAAAAAAAAAAAGATTGTGCGATATTCAGCAGACTTACGCAAGTAAAATGTGATTTCATTGTTTAATGTCGCTGAAAAATGATATTGTATTTTACTTCAAGAAAACACAATGTTAATTTTTTAACTGCATAAAGATTGCTCAAAAATGTATTTAAACCAAAGGCTGCATTTCTTCTTTTTCACAATAAATATGGAAAAAAAACACCTCATTTACGTAGACATTTTGGGAACCCGAATGAACTTTCTGTCCTTATTAATTCGAATTTTGGCACTGATGTATGAATAGGGGAAAATGTGGATTCATACTTTTGGCTTGGTGCCTTTTTTGATAAATATATACTATCCACGTATGCTTATAAGTATAAAAGTGTTTGTTTGTAAACTATTCATAGTGAAAGTAATTTAAACCTAGGAAAAACTCATATAAATGTTTTTCTTTATCTTATACGTATGCGTTTTTTTTTTTTTTTTCTTAAGTTTACTTGTCTAACTTTTAAGATGTCTGTAAATATTTTCCTCTTTTGATCAAAACTATACATAATTGTATTATAAATAAAGGCAGATCTAATATTTTCTTTACAGAGCACAGATATTAAGTGTGTGACATCAGATTAAAGAGAAATTTCTTAGAATGGTCCCAGCTTTCAAGCAGCTGCTAAAAAGAGTAAGCTAAGAAAAGCTAACACTTAAAATTCGGTTAGAAAATGGAAAACGTCTTAAAAGAGAATAAAACTAGTAAGAGAGAAAACGTTCAAGGGCAAAGCTAACCGATATAAATAAAAAGCAAGCATATGAAAAACTGAAACAGCAAAGCTGTAGTGCTGAAACAGTTGGTATGATATGGTTATTTTTACCTTTTGTCCTAGCCCGAAGAAAAGGAAAAAGTAAGGTTAAAAATGAGGTCATAGTATTTTCTAATGTCATTAATCTTATTACACATATATATCTTTTTGACAAGTTACTGGCGCCGTGGCTCTTTTCCCCGAGAAGAATCCAAAGTTTTCTTTTTTCTTTTTTAATGTAATGTCTAAGTATTTCGACTCCTAAAAACAACTAAATAATAATGACATTTTAACAAAAAAACTTACAACATTATGAACATTTTAATCGTGGTACAGACAGATTTAAATACAGTATGTTCAAGATAAATATTGCAAATTTTGCCGTTTACCTATAAGACATTAAAAGATGGCATTTGGTTAAATTAAACTGTTACGCATGACATCTCAGGAAATTATTAATACAAGTTATGAACTGCTGAAAGAATGTTATCTTAAATAAGAGAATTTACACCTACTGTGTGCAATAAAATGTTCACAGTGAACCTTAAAATTGTCATGTCGCGAATTTTAATTATTAATATGTGTTTTAAGTTATCGTTATTCTGGTATTTTTATTTGTGTTCATGTATATTTTAATCCGGAAAAAGAGTATTTTAAGTTGTTAAGGTTTTATTTAACTCGTTATTCTTGAGCAGAAAGTGTAGCAAAGGCGAAAGACGGTTGCGAGGAAACACATCTGGTTTATGGCCTTTTTACTAACAGTGGAGGCAGTAGGGTGTTGTGTTGCCGCCTTTTACTAATGGCGTTTGAAACGAAAACCGTCTTCAATTCGCTTAGTTATAGTTGCAATTTTGTTTACTTCAAGACAGTGGGGGGTTGTTGTAAGCTTAGGTAATTGGATTCTCGTAAAGCTTAGTTTCCGATTGTTAGTTGGGGGGTCCACTTTAGTGCTTACGTTGTGTGTACAGATGTTTTTTGGACTGCATTGCCAGATTTTTTGGTGTTTGATTCGTCGTGGGGGAGGAATTTTTCTCAATCTAGATAAAGTAAAATTCTAGGATTGGTAAGATTTCATTTGATGATATTTTGTAGGCCAATGAAATTTTCGGGGCGAAGAGGAGAGTTTACTTCGGTGCTTGCACCAGGTTAGAGTTCATTCGGATTCTGATTTTTGAAGAAGAAGAAATAAAAAAGAAAATAATGGGGGCTTGACCCCTTGCGGGTTCACTAAATTTTGCACTATAAGGAGACACACATATGGTATTTTGCGGAAAACCAAATTCTACAGGCCTTCACGCGGATAAATAACTCAATAATAAATAATATGACAGAAACACTTAGCAGTATCCTGTATGCACTCTCCTCAGCAGGCTCTCCTTCAGAAGACACAACAGAGCAATAGCGCATCTAGCATTCAGCACTGCAGATGATAAAGAATTCCCAAAAGAAGAAATGCTACAGATCTTCAGGAATCTTTCTTTAAAAAAAGCACCTGGACCAGATGGTATAAATTATCCAACATTCAACATTATTCAAAAAATGTTCCAGATTTGTTCTCAATTTTCTTCAACAAGCTACTGCACTGCTGCCTTTACCCCACTGATTTCGAAGTCGGGCAAATCGTATGCTTTCTTAAACATAACAAAAACCCTAGTAGCTCGTATTCTTACTGTCCAATATGCCTGCTTTCAGGGCTAATAAATATGAATTGAAAACCTTCTGGTCAACAGCCTGAAAAAGAGAGCAACATAATCGGCGAAATCCAATACGGCTTTAGAAATCTACCACACATGCGCTCATGACTGAAAAACAACGCTTTGGAAAACACACACAATGTCTATCACAGTTATGTAATCACACAATTATACTCGATTTAATGCATGCCAGCTCTTAAATATGCAATGGAATGAGCAAGATGTCCAAGAAACATTGTAAGGATCTTAAGTTTTACTAACGTTTATTTTATTTTAAATCTTTACTATCACTTCTTATTTTCTACTTCCAGCCAGAATTATAAGCGTTAAGGGTTTTAATGCAAAGTTTGTCTGGCGAACGCCAAGTTATTTAAGTTGTGGCTTTTTGCCAAGCGAGAGAGAGGAAGCAGTGAGTCGAAGCAGGCCGCTTACCTTAGAAGTTACGCAATTGCTTGTTGCCTTCCAGGCCGGAGGTTTGAATCCTCTTGATAAATTTAAACGTATTGTAGTGTTCACAGTTCTCTGTACTACATACGCTTCCTGTTAATATAAGGCCAATCTTCCACGTTTATTATTTTAAAGTTAAATTAGAGTTTAGTTCTATTTTTATATTTTTACGTTAGACCTCAAGTAGCGGGTCGGTGTATTCCGAAGTACGGAAGTTTTTTGTAATTGAGAAAAATAAAGGGTTTTGTATACCCTTCTTGTGTATCCTGTCTACTTCCCACAATTAGTGAACATAGCTTTAGTAAGCTCTCTGTTCCGAGTCAGGTCCTTGCATGTTCCCGAAGAAAGTAAGAAGGAACATTGAACCTGATAGTGCGGCCCAACGAAGAAGAATAACCATGGCCGAGTTTCAAGAAGAACCTGTGCTGCCTGCAGAAACGGCTCAGAATCCAGAAATGCCAGCTGCCGCCCTGGAAGGATTTGGTTACATCGTCCAGACCATGCGCGCTTCGATGAAACAACCAGAAGAAACATTTAATGGAAACTCACCGGTAACCAGTTTTTTTGGAAAAATTGGATGACCACTTCATGCTCTACCCCGTGCACGAGTTTTAAATAGTTACCTTAGCTACCAGCGCTTTGAGGGGCCACGCTTAACTGGTTCAAATGTATAGGCAGAAGTCTCTTGGGTCAAGCAGGAAGTCCCACCTATACTTACGAAAATTTCAAGACTGCCCTACTAAAAGCCTTCCCTGTTGTAAGGGATCGTGCGAAATTAGAAACGGAACTTTTTAGTATATATCAACAAAGAATCGAAAACCTCTCAAGCTTTATTTTAAAAATTCTTCTTCAAACTCTTGTATGGAAACCGTCCGGATCCTGAATAATTCAAGTGATTTTGCCGAGGTTACTGCCCCAAGTGCAAGACTTTATTGAATTAAGAAATCCGACTACACTGGAAAAGTTATTTGAGCTAGCAATCCAGTTTTTGAAAGTAGAAGAACGGCGGACTTGAAAGAAGACGCCAATATCAACAGCGAAACCAATTTGGCGCGCCAAGACTACAGCAAACTCAAGCACACGGCTACGGAGCAAAGCGAATCAGTGGGCAAGGAAACCGAGCATTCAAAAACAGCCGGCGAACGTCGACAGTTCAATAGCAATCCAGAAAAAAGTCTCAAGGCCAGGGAAAAGAAGGAAAGCACGGAAATGAAAAATAATTTAAACTAAAACGGATTTCTGCTGACGGAGGGTGCGGAAATCCGAAGGCCACGAAAACCCCTCTTCCTACAAGTTAAATACAGTAATGGTGAAAAATTTGACTCTTCCGAAGATTGAAGTGTTGGTGAATAATATCCCAGCCACCGCACTCCTGGATACCGGCGCGCAGTGTTCCTGTGTGGCAGAAGATTTTTTTAGGAAGTATTTTCGTAAATATCGCATATATAATTCGGATAATACGACAGTGTTAGCTGCGCAAGGACAAAAATGTAAGTGCATAGGTAAAGTACCTTTGTATATCCGTATCAAGGACGAACAAGTAAAGGTGATGTTTTTTATAGTAAAGAATCTGCAAGCACATTTAATCTTAGGAATAGATTTTCTTTCAGACGCACAAGCAACACTGGATTTTAATGAAGCGTCCCTTAAGCTGACAATGAAACCAGTTCTTGCAGAAAAGGCTGAACCGCCGATGTTAAAACTTGACCACCTCCCTAATGACGAGCAAGGAAGAATCCGACAAGTGGTAAGTGAATTTGCTTCGTTATTTAGTGATATTCCAGGATTTACTCAGGTTACTAACCATAGTATTGACACCGGAGATGCAATGCCAGTTCGCCAAAAACCATACCGGTATGATAAGAATAAGGAAAAAATTATAGAATGGCATATTACCGATATGCTACGTAAAAAGATCATAACGCCCATCTCAAGTAGTTATGCTAGCCCGGTGGTTTTATGTAAGAAAAATAATGACTATCCTTTGGAGCATCCAAAAAGGTGGAGATTCGCTATTGATTACCGTAAATTAAACTCCATAACTAAATATCCGGTATATCCGTTACCGATCATTGAAGAAATTCTAAGGAACATAAATCAACCAAATTTATGACGACTTTAACTTAACGACTGGTTATTTTCAAATAGGGGTTAGGCCTGAGGACGTGCCTAAGACTGCTTTTATAACCAAGTCTGGCACTTATGCATTTTTGCGTATGCCGTTTGGCCTTTCAGGGGCCCCGGCAACATTTCAGTGATGCATGGACATTGTGTTAAGACCTGTTCTTGGAAAGTCCACATTTATCTATTTAGACGATATCATTATTACTAGTGATAATCTCGACCAACATGTACAGGATTTAAGACAGGTGTTTTCTTTATTAAATGAGGCCGGTCTAAAAGTTAATGTCGAAAAGTGCAAATTTGCAGCCCCTGAATTAAAATATTTAGGTTACAAAATATCTCAAAAAGGAATCGAGACAGACGAATCAAAAATAATCGCTGTACAAAAGTATCCGACTCC